GATGGCGGGGCAGGAGGAGGCAAAAGGAAACAGAGGTAGGCTCTAGGAAGCAAAGGCATAGATAGGGAAATTAACAGAGGTGTGCACTTATGCAAATACATTAACCCATAACAATAGTGGTATTGGCCTTTGTACATATATTTATAAGGCAATACACTGAAGCTGCAGATGGGCCTTGGGCCTCGGCTCATACCTTCCTTCAATACAAGAACACTGTGTTCGAACAAACTGGCATTCTGTGAGGCTCAACCCCCTGCCCCCTACATGATTGCTGAAGACAAAATGGGTGCATAAGCAGATGTGGTGAAGACAGAGGATGGTGCCTGGCTATTAAAAGATACAGTGTCTGGGGTCTTAAAGGCTTGAAGTTAAATAAGAGGCCACCCAATAGTGAAGCTAAAAGCCCACATGGAAAAGCACATCAGTTGGTGGGATCGTGAGGTGTCACTGAGACTGGGCAACGGGCATCAGAAGACTCACAACAAACAGTAAACAAACAAAAATGCATTGGTGAGAATGGAGGGGGGTTGGAGCAGAGACCCAAAGCCCATCTATCGACAATGGGACATCCCGCGACAAAGGAATCGCAGGGAGGGGGTGAGTCATCAGGGTGCAGTAGAGCACTGATGGGTCATGCAATATACCTCTGATCCCTTGAGGCCTCCTCACCCCCCTGCTATCATGACCCCAGTGCTGCTTCCCACTCTGGACTAGACAGGAGCATGTACACAGGAATAGGCAAGAGAGATAAAACTCACAACACATGGAACCCAGGAACAGGAATGGGAACAGAGATACAAAAGGGTGGGGGGAAGGGGGGGAGAAGTAGGGAGAGTGGGGGGCACCAATCGCAATGAATGGCACATAACCACACACCCCCAGTCAGGGGGAAGAACAACAGAAACCAGAAGGGAAGGGAGGTGGCGGTTGGGGTGAGATTTGAAAATGGATTTTTATTCATGAGGTACAGCAGCAATGATGGCATTCCTCCAGGGCTTCATCGGTTTGTTGAAACATCTCAGTTGGTCTTCCATCCCTTCCTGGAGCCTTGTTCTTCATGGACACCTTTAGCACAGCTGGAACTTCTTCCCTCAGGACCCTGGGTTCCTGGTCATATGCTTCCTCTGGAAATGGTTGGAGACCAACCAATTCTTATTGGTACAGTGCCTCTGTGTTCCTTCCATCTTCCTTTGCTCTACCCTATATCATTCAATACTTTGATCATGGATTTCCTGAACACTGCAACTTGAGGCTTGAATTTTTCTTTTAATTCTTTCAGCTTGAGGTATGTTGAAAATGCCCTCCTTTTTTGTTTTCTATGTCCAGGGCTGTGCACATTTCATTACAATACTCTACTGTGTCTTCCCCAGCTTTCTTCTGAAATTTTCTGTTCGGCCCTCTTCACCATTTCTTCCATTTGCTCTAGCTATTCTGTATTCAAAACCAGTTTCAACGTCTCGTCTGACACTCTCTTTGACCTTTTCCTTTCTTCCCTTCCTTTTTAATGACTTTAAACTTGCTTCATGTATGATGTTCTTGATGTCATCTAAAACTTACCTGGTTTTTTATAGTGTTCAGTATATCAACTACATCACTGTTGTTCCTCCACACTCTTGATTCAATTTCCATCCAGTTTCCAATTTAAAATGTAAACCACGATTTCACTCCCCTTTAAAAATCTTTCAGTCACAAAAAAGAAAACAAAAACACCCCGCCCCGTCACACACAAAATCTTTGTCGCTTGCCCTTAGATTTACAACAAAACCCAGCCTCTGTCAGTTCCTGCATAAGGATCTTACATGTCCTGCCTAAGCTAGCTATCTCTGAGAGTTCCTAAGCAGTGCAAATGGCTAATGTGCTTGGCGACCAGTCAAAAAGTTGAAAGTTCCAGTGCACGTCGGTGATCTACTTCAGACAATCCAGCTACTGAACACCCATGGAGCACAGGTCTCCTCTGATACATGGGGTTGCCTGACGTCAGTGGCATGCTTTTGCTTTGAACTGTAACTCCTAGAACTTTGTTTCTCACCCACTCGGTTGCAGCCCTACTGGCTTCCTTTGTTATTCTTTGGGTATTTTCAGCTTGCCCAGCACACTTCAATCTGCAGCTTTACCCTCTTAGTTCTGCCTGATTCTTCCCCATAACCACATAGCTCTCCAGCTCAACTTCTTGCTCAACCATTCCTTCTTCACGCCTGTTTCTTGACCATTGCATCTAAACTCCCGTGGCTGTTTTAGTGTTCTTCCTGACACTGTCATTACATCTACACATACACACACATGTTGCTGTTAGGTGCTGTCAAGTTGATTCCAACTCACAGTAACTGAAAGCACAACAGAATGGAGAACTTCCTGGTTTTATGCTATCCTCACAATCATTGCTATGTTGAGCTCACTGTTCTAGCCACTGTGTCAATCTATCTCACTGAGGATTGTCTCTTTTTGTGCTGACCTACATTAAAGGGAATCACGTCCTTCTCCAGACAGGAGTGCCTCCTGATAACAAGTCCAGGGCTTATAAGATGTAGACTCACTATCTTCGCTATAAAGAGTAATTCTGGTTGTACTTCTTCTAACATGGATTTGTTCTGGAAGTCCATGGCATATTATTACTCCTCACTAATACCATAATTCAAATGCATCAATTCTTCTTTGAGCAGCTTTCTCAACTACATAAACCAATTGAAAACAAAACACACACACACACACACACACTGATATGTACTATCAATATGCAAATATATTAGCTATCTATGATTTTGGAAACTTGGATTTGCTCACCAATGGATCTCATGTCAAGAATTGTGCTCTTGGTACATTGTAGGTTTTCAAGAAATACTTTGTCACATATTAATATTGGCTTGGCTTTAGCAGAGTACTTTACTTACTATGAAAATAAGCCCTAAATAAAAGCAAGCAAAGCAGCTACCCAGGATTAGTCTTCCACATTCTGCTTTGCAGAACCCTTATTGATCTAACCTGGAAAACAACTTTATTTTTATTCAGAAAACCTAGCGGGGTTTTTTTATTCATGAGGTATAGCAGATCTAGCAGAAAGAGTTCTTTTTATTTCATCAGAGTGTTGGAAGAAAGTAATAAAAAGAGTCCTCCATTAAAAATAGCCAAATAATTGGTTCCTTATTTGAAATAGTTGTAAAAAAGAAAAAGGAAAAAAACGTCCCATGTTTTTATTTATTGCTAAATGGTACTGTATAAAAAATTACCATGTAATAGGAAAACGTTATTTTGAAATGCAAAAAATAGGAAAAAGCCACACCAGAGGGTTAATAAATTAAAAAGTAATTGGCTCCCTCAATAATTCTTCTGTAAAGATCCCAATTGATGGTTCTAAAATTATAGCTAAACACATGGTTTCAGTTTACCATAAAAATAAAGCTGCCTTATGCCACTTACTGCATGTTTAAATTGTACCATATATTGTTAGCCATAGAAAATAATTTTATAATATCATTAAAATGTTGAAGTAAATAAATGAAAAGCAGTTTATGAGCAAAGTTCCGGTAGATAAACCTCAGAACCCCGCTGAGATGTAGTTGATTACTTAATATGGCCCTTCTCATCAAGTCTTTGTAACTTCCACCAAATGATAGGTGAGGTCACGCATATAGGATGTGTGAAACATTAATAGAGGGGCCTGGTCAGTTTTGCCATTACACTGCGAATATACATGAGCCATCACAGAAGAGAGGAGAGAAAGAATCCCGCGACTGTCTGTCACAAAAGAAAAGCCATTAGTGGATTGTGTGAGAGATCTGTCTGAAGTGGCGGAGGCTCAGAGTCATAAGAAGCCACAGGATCAAAACTGTGAGGCTGGTGGTGGACTTCTTGGCCCACGAAACAAGGGAACAAGTGGCTGAGAGACCAAGAACCAGAAAGAGGCACGTCTGACAAGAGGTGATGTAGACAAATGAACCGTATCCTTAACTTTTGAAACCTGTTAGCTTCCCTCTTAAGCCCCAAAATTGACTGTCTATGAGTTCTGCATTGTCATTACAACACATTGTCAAACTCAACAGAGAGGTAAAGTGCCTTGGAAGGTACAGTTGGTGTCAGTATAGGGCAAAGAAAGATGGCGGGTGGAGGCATGTCTGACTGGTGGCAATCAGCCATCTGTTGGCGCACAGTTAAGAGTCTCCTCCTCTGTGTAGTCAGAGGACACCAGACAAGGCTTCCACAGCATTTCCTCACCCGGCACCACTTTCATTTTTGTTTTTCTGATGGCACTTTATACTTTCATCTTACATTTGCCGGTATTTGCATTTTTTGACACCAGCATTTTGCCTTTTCCACTCTTTGTAGTTTCCTACAGTGTTAGCGCTAGGCTACTCATGTTCTCTGAATGATGCAGCGGGTTACAATCGCAGTGAACTCTCAGAGTGGATATTTAGCTGTTGAGTTGTAAATGAGCCCAATAAGTGCCTTGATATATCAAACCCTCTGAGAGAAAAGTATAGACCGTTAGACAAATCTATAAAAGTGGTTTATTTATACTCATTCGACTTTTGCTCCACAGTATTTATACAATTGTATTAAAATGAACATGTGCGTAATCACTTGCTTAATGTCTGTCTTTGCCACATTAAAATCTCTGACAGTAAGGCTCATATATGTACATATATATGGCGTATTGCCCCCGAAGTACTCCACAATATTAGGTACCTAATACTACATTTTGAGTCAATGAGTACTTTCAGTGTTCTTCTACCACACAGTTTACAGATGACTAGGTCCTGTCTCAAGTGAGTTACAAGGTACTTCAAACCTTGCACAACCTAGTGATTCATTTCCATCAGTTTTAGAATGTGCTTTTTTTTCACATGCATCTTGCAATCGAATCACATAGACTAATTCACAGCTCTATTTTCTTTCTGAGTAGTGCATAAAATTACATTTTAATAAATGATAGTGTTTTAGAATCAATATTCTAACATTGCTAATTGCTTTTTAATATGAAAAACACAAAAGTTCCAAGTACTTACATCAATTAAATCTGAAAGATCATGAATATAATACTTGAAAACTGAGGCATTAGTTGCTTCGAGGGTAAGGAGATACTCATTCCGTGCCTTAATCGACTTTAGCTTATTTTCAGAATACTTTGCTTGTCTCTGGAAAAGAAGATGATTCAGGCATTGGGAAAGAATAATCAAAAAAGTCATTTTTGATTAAAACAGACAAACATCCGTGAGTTTTTATTCATCTAAACAGCTCATTCCACATATACGAATGGCCCTTCAGTCTTAGCCTTATTTAAATAATGAAACAAACCACCCAGTTACAGGGACTAACAACAGTCTAGGCTTGGGGCCCATGTGTAATGAAGTCTCTTTGTTAATACTCCAGTTCTCTACATTGTGTATGGAACACTTGGCAGGCAGCACTCAATGATGTCCAGCTGTTATTAGATGACGTTTGTGCTTCTTAAACGTTTTTCTTCCCATTGGGTGGAAATGCATGCTATTTCACGGTCACTGGCCATGTGTGTTTCAGGATTTGCATTGGGATTCTTAATCACTGTCACCTCAAGTGAGGGTGGTATGTCCTCATCCTGGCTTTGCGATGGACATTTACTTACCTTTTCTTTCATTTTTTCTATTTTCTTCACAGAGCTTCGGCGCTGGTGCCTCTCTTCCAGCCTGATATGAAAGACTGGGTCACCAGATCTTCCGATTTGCTTTTCTTCCTGCTTCTCAGCCTCCTTCAGCTTGCTTTCTGCACTGATGCTCTCTGCATGATACATGTGGTATGTTTTCATCACCTGTGGAAACAGTCACAAGATGTCTGTCTGACATTTAGAGTGACTAGAACCCATTATATGATGCATATGTAAGAATATCACCCTCTACCTGGTGAACTGCAAGGCAGATTGTGAGTGAAAAGATGAACTGTGGGCTATTAATTCTATATAAAGCACATTGAAATATTCAAAGTCACAAAGCAGGAAAAGGCACTTTGGGGATCAGCTTTGATGAAAAAAAAAAAAAAGATCCAAAAAAATCTTATGCATGTTTTCAATGTCCTTAAAGAGTTCTCTCTTAAGCTTGAACATATATCCCTAACATCTCTGTTGCATTATTAATCTGTAGAAAAATCATTTATTCATGGATAAAATTTAGCTTAATCTTAGAATTACAGAACACCTCCAAATTAGTGCAGGCTTCATTAAAAGGGATTTTATTGCCCACACATCTACTGATTGTCAAAATACAAAATGGAACACTAAGGTTCAGACATTGTTTTAGTTTAAAAAAAGTTTTATTGAGTTTACAATAATGCTTTGTGTTCAGTGTAGAAAGTAAATACACCTACTTTCACTTTTCTGCTCTCATTATCTGACATGTAGCATTAAGACAACAGTAAAAAATCGATCTGACCCTTTTACACAAGAATGACATGCATCTGGAAGTAGTGAATGCCCAGGTAGGTGTGTGGGGAGAGTAATGCTGGTTGTGATGGGTAAGCTTATGTGTCAGTTTGCCTGGGCCATGATTCTCAATGGTTTGGAAATTATGTATTGATGTAATTTGGCAGTTATATAATAATGTAGACTTTTTCATCAGATGTGATCATCCTCATTTTTGCATAATGCCAATTTTCACATAATAATGTGGTTCTTGAATGAGGAGTGGGTACAATACAGTAAAAGAAAAAGAAAATAAAAAATCATCCTGACATTACCACATATAAGAATTTGGTGTATAACCATCTACTCTTTTCCCTATGTATGAATAACACACACATTTGTTCATCTAAATTCATCTATATAATTTCTCCTTCTGCAAAATTGGGATCATAATAGAATTTATCAATATTTTTCACTTACAATATCAAATCATATTCTCACATCACTAGTCTTCTAAAACAGAATTTTAAGGGTGTCAAAGTATTATATGATGAACATATATTACCTAATTATCTATTGTTGAACATTTTAGGTATTTTAACATACTGCTTTAGAAATACAGCCATGCTGAAAATTACTGCTATATATATTTTTATTTTTTATCAGGAATGTATATAAATTGTCCTTCAACAACTACAGAAACACCTAACAAAAAATTTAATGTTTTTTATATGCACTATCTCTAACTCACATTGTTGTTATTAAAATGTGCAAAAATTTGTTTCATATTTCCTAGGGCAAATTCCTAGAAGAGAATAGCAGAGTCACAAGATATGAATAATTTTTGAGGCTTTTGAAGCATACTGCCTCTTTAATCATCTGCAGCTTTGAGAAGTAAAATGATCTATGCAGTTACCTTTGCAATCTTTAGTTAATGTTTTAAAATAAGGAGTAACACATATAGTTTAGATACCAGAAGAAGTCACAGTTTTTCAGAGATTTTACCTGAAAATTAGTTTCCCAATGTAGTTTTCATGTGCAGACCTAGACATGTGGGCAAATTCTGAAGCCTGTGTATCTTAGGTACAAAAATTCTCCTTCCTTCCTGGAAACCACGTGCAGAAAGTGTGCTGACTGCTGGGTCAGGAAAACCCAGGGCTCAGCACCCCACTCGTCAGTGGTGGCACGTCTCAGAAATGATCTTAGATTCCTTTCCACAGAGGGCAGGTTTCACTTCGTTTGTAAGTTTGGAGGCAATTTTCTAACTAAGGAGAAGATGGTAAGATGGTGAGATGAATGTTTGGAGGAGTAAAGCATGGGGCACTGAGTAAAGAGGCTTCACTAATTTTTGTAAATGTCAAAGCACAAAATAAGGACCAAACCCCAAAGTAGCTGGCAGCTTTCTCTGGGCTGTGTGCACTGGGGAAAGCCGTCTGTTTTCAGTAATTATCCAACTTGTCCATGGGAAGTTTGTTTGGCTACTGTGGTTTGAAAAAAAAAAAAAAAGCATCAGGAAGCAGCTTGGCAGCTGGGGAATGAGAAGGGAGTCACCCTGCAGCTGGGCAAACAGGAGGTCAATGAGCCTACTACACACCTTGCATTTCTAAGGCTGGGCTCTGTTTATAGTCCCTGACTGAAGCAATGCCACATACCGTTTGGGTCCTAGTTCCAGATACATCTTAAAAGGAGAGAGTGTAAACGCAAACACACACTTGCATGGCTATCTGTATTATTCTCATAAGGCAGGGAGGAAGAAAAAATACCATGACTCTCATCACATTTAGATGAAAAGGTACCTCAGACAGCCTTGGGTATGCGAGAAAACAGTCCTTTAATAGACATTACAAAGATATGACTTGAATTCCTGACTCTTGCTTAACTTGGACACCAAGGTCTGGTGTAAGCAGATAATTTGCACTAACTAATAAACCAGAGAAGAAGAGAAAACTCACAGCGCTGGTGGCTAGCATGGCATTTCTTATTAGCTAGGCTGGGGTGAAATGAAAACACTTTCGTCTCACCTAACACCAGCAAGAAAATGGTACAGATATTATCTCATCAGAACGTGGTTTAGCACAATAGCTGAGGATTCTCTACCCAGTTCAGTGGTAATTCCCAGGACAGAAATTTCCTCGTTTGGATTTCCAATCTGACTTGGGGTTTCTACTATCCTCTAAAATGTGAACAGTTGGAATGAATGAATTTTAAAAGTTGGAGAGAAAAACACTAAAAGCTTTTTGAGCACTCTAATTGCTGATAATGAATGCAAGCGCAATTGGCATAATTTAAAATGTAAGCTGTTGACAGAAGTTCAATGTGTTTTGTATTTAAAGTAAAATAGCAGCCAGTTCCCCCATTTTTTCAGAGAAGTAAAAGGAAGCTTTCATTTTTAAAGGTGCATTTTGAAAATATACTGAAGAAAATAACAGCATCTCCTTCAGTTTTGTGCAAATGTAAGCCTTTGCATACCAAATGGCACGCTAGGCATGCGCATACATCCACTTAAATGTACTCCCAGTGCATATTTTCCTATTTGAATTTTTCTCTGCTAAAAACCCCATGCATAATTCTCCAGGAAATCCACTTGGCTTATTTCTCCTGCTCCATCTCTCTGTAACCGCAGGGGAAATATAGTCAAATAGAAAATAACTGTATTCATCGGTTTCTTTCTGCAGAAGATTGGGAGATCCAACACAGTAACTCTTCCAGTCTTTGTTCCTTATTTTCTTCATCTTTGCTACTGATATGACATGCATCTGTCCATGAGATGTTCTTGATACTGTTTTTGTATTCAGTAACAAAATTACTCAATACTTGTAGTTAGTGTTAAGAAATTATTCTGTATTCTGAACAGTACATATGTGTTAGGGAAGATCAGGAGGTTAAAGCTATAGTTTCTACACGGAATTAGAAGATTTAGATTCTAGGGATGGAACTACCATTTACTAGATAGGGACAGTTACTTAGCAAAACTGTTCACCTTACAAAGTTGCTGTGGGTGGCAAATTTTATGTCCTTGTGTGTGTTTGTGTGTTATACATTAAAAAGCATGTACTATACATGAATGAGTGTTTTACATACATGCACACACTTATACAATAGGTATTCTCACACATAAAAATGTATGTGTACTTGCAACACATGCAATAGATGATACATATGACATTGCATGTATGTAACTTGATACTGTAAAATATATATTATGTGCTAGGCATATTATAAATTTAATCCTCATAAGAACTCTTTATGATTCTCATTAAACAGATGAGAAATCAGGCAAGGAGAGGTTAAAGATCTGGTTCCCGTTGGCTAAGAATGTAACCAGAGATTCAGACAGGAGATTAGAGGTTACCAGGGGCTGGTAGGAGACCAACAACCAGGGAGTTACTACTTACTGGATATGGAGTTGCTGCCTGGGTGACAAAAAAATCTTTGGGACTGCACCTAGACAGTTACGATGGTTGCACAACACAGAAAATGCTGCTAGTGCCACTTAACAGATTTCTGCACTTAAGAATGACAAATGCTGTGTTCACAGCTATTTGCACCAAAATAAAAAATGAGTTCAACAATTCTGATAGACTTAGCCAGCCAAAGGCTGGCTGTATGAGATCAGCAATGGAACGGTGGGAGGAACCACAAAAGTGTGAGGGGCATGTGCAGACCAAAATAGCAAAGGAGGAATACAGGGGAGTGCTTATAAAAGGAGACAGTTGCGTAACTGAGCTGAAGACAGCATGGGCCACTATCAGGAGAGGCTGGAAGTTCCAACCAGTAAGTATAGTATTCATGCTGGAGAGCCTTGTAAATTCACACAGAGGTAGCCACAGCATAAGTCAACACAGCAGCTTAGTAATACACTGGGTGAAAACCTGAGGAACGATGTGGGATGGGTAGTGCCTCATTCAGCCTGCAACAGGGAATGAAATTAAGGGAGAGAATCCATAGCTACGGGACTTTTCCTCTGTTCTTACTCTCTTTCACCATGCTGCTTACATTTGATAGGATTCTCACCACCGTGGCACTCACGGCCTTCACCATAGCCTCGGAATCTGTCTACTGGTTGGGGGTCAACCAATTTTTGCTTCCTCCTTGCAATTTGACTTTCTTGCCTCTGTGGCCTACTCTTCAGCCAGTCCCAGGGCTTGGAATGTCACCCCAGCCTGTCATCCTCTTAACATTTGATCAGTCCTCCTTGGGAGACTTACATCTGACTTACCACACCAAGTGTTTCCCAGTTCCCTAGCCAGGGCCATCTTGTTCTTCTGACCACGGAGACTTGCTTAGCTATAGTCCATCAGATCCTTTGCCATGGTTTTACAGGTAAGTGTGCTGCCCAACATCCTGGACTGCCTGATAAGTTTACCTCAGTCACCAACCACATCTAATAAACCTTCAGACCCTTAGTGCTACCT